CTTTTACCCTTTGTATTGTTTTATATTTTATAGAACTCCTTTCCAATAACTGTTGATGTAATATAGAGTTTCTGATTTATTCAAGGGGCATCTTTGGAAGAACATATTTTAGAGCCCTCTGTTTTAGGGTGGGAGAATTTGAAGCCCTAAATTAAATTCCATTGTTTTCATGATAGTCCTAGAATGAATGCTTAATAAAGTAGTTGAATAAATTAATAGATGAAAACCAGGCACAGTGGTACATGCCTGTCATCCCAGCACTTGGAGGCTGAGGCAGGAGGATCACCATGAGTTTGAGACCAGACTGGGCTATAAAGTGAGTTCAAGGCCAGTCTGGACTATATAGTGAGACACTGTCTCAAAAAATAAAAATAAAAAAATTAATGAATGAATGAAAAAAATATCCTCATCTAAAATAAAGTTGTTGCCGGGTATAGTGGGGCACTCCTGTAATCTCAGCACTCTGGGAAGCTGAGACAAGAGGATATCAAGATTGAGCCTTGCCTGGGCCACTTAGGGATTTAGCAAGACCCTGTCTCAAAATAAAAAATAAAAACAGGGCCAGGGGTATAGCTCAGTATGAAGACCCTGGGCTCAATTGCTAGTACCACAAAAAGAAAAGGAAAGGAAAAGAAAAGTTGTCATGCACACTGAGGAATATTTCTGGAAATTTATTTCAAGAAAATTGCTGCAGCTACCTTGTCATTGCCAACTCAGGAAAAATGCCAAAGGAAACAGTTTTTAAAGTAGAAAAGGATAGGAGAAAGTCTTACTCGAGAGAGTTTAAAAGTTCAGGCAATTTGAGGCACTAAAACTTTGGTTCTGTTACAAGGTAGGGTTTTCACTTCGGGGAGTAGCATTTAGAGCAAGTCCATCCTTCAGGGCACATGAGGCACCCAGGGGTTCGATCAAAGCTGGCTTAAGACATCTGTTCACAGGCTTGAGGTGTCCCTTGGGCCAGGAGCAGTGTGGGTGTGGACACTGGGTAGAGCACTCTGCTCAGAGGCCATCGGGAGAGAAGTGGCCCAGTTGTAGTGTTCTTTTTATCTCCTAATGACACTGTGGGTGTCACTGGGCTGGGGAACAGTATGGAGATCAGAGGACAGAGGAAGAGAACAACTTTCACAGCATGGATGAAAACGTGCTGTAAACCTGTGGATGTGTGCGTGTGCGTGTGCGTGTGTGCGTGTGTGAGATACACAGACAGCCCACTGGGCAAGCGTGCCTTAGGTTCACACCACTACCTGGGGGCTTCACTGTCATCTATTCCTCCTGGACTGGGAGCCCAAAACAGATCCTGAGTCAGAGGGATAATTTTAAAGCTGAAAACAAATCCAAGAATGGTCTTTATGTACTTTATAAGTCTGTTTAAAATCCGCTCAAGGTTGTTTGTTTTGCTAGTGTCCCCCGAGCAATATAAGCGTTTTAGTTGAAAAAAATGTAGTTAATTCTTTAAAGTAATAGATTACTACTGGAATAACTATAACAGTTCATTTTTATTTAGAGTATCCCATCAATCTGAACACTAATATCTACGATCTTATTTTGTCAGTTTAAGAAATGGCATATTTTTAATTCTTCGGCATTTAAAGAAGGGTGCTGTCCTACGGCAAGAGCCCACTGCCAGAATTAGCCGATAATAAAAACACAAATATATGCCACTTCTTGCCAAGGTGACATTCCACGTTGCTTCCCTGGCCCCTAAAGGAAATTGGCAAGAATGTGCTGGTCAGGGAGCCTCCTCCCTTCGCTCCACCTCCTCACAGCTCATAAAGGCCCTTTATTGCCTGTGCACACACCCACTTAGGAAACTATCCAGGGTACCTAGGGTGCTTTCTTCCATTTGTTTTCTCTCCTAACATTTGATCACTGGCTGGTGAACTGTTTGGGCCCACAGAGATCTCCAGACCACCAGCTCATGTATTTGAAAGGCATCTGTTTATTTGGAAAATGCAAATGCGGCCTACCTCAAAGACTGACAGGCGAGGGGTGACCCACTGAGCCAGCCGGAGAGAGGCTTCCAGTCTGGAGATCACACCCAGCACAGACACTTGGCCCAGCCCCGGGAATCCCAGGGCAGGACCCACAATTAAACCAAGCCGCCTCAGCCCCTGAGAATCAGCAGGCGGATAGCTCTGCACCCAGTTGAAGGGGTCACTTACAAAGGGACTGGGAGCCTTGAGAGCATGGCTTGTCTAGGGAGGGCTGCTTGGTGGCGGACCCATAGCAGGACACCAGCTCCTACCAGTGGCCGCCTGCCGGCCCTCGTCCTAGGGAGGAAAAAGCCCAGGAAGGTTAATACCCGACTTTGATCTCTGTCAAGGCATACCAGCAAGAATTAATTTACATTTCAGATGAGAAAGGTTGACAGCATGAAAAGGCAGCTTGTTGCTGGTATGTGAATGTGCCGTAATAGATCGGGAATTCTGAGAGGAAGTTCTGAGGAAGCTGAAGGGATAAGCCCAGGCTGCTTTTATTGGGAAGGAGATGAAAGGAAAACAAATTTCAATATGCATCTCACTGCGGCAACACGTAGGCCAAATGCTTCCTAAATTTCAAGGGCTGCTCTTTTAAAAATACATAACCTATCTTAGCAACACTATTAAAAAAAAAGATCACTGTGGGCCAGAACTAGAAGTACAAACAAATGCATTCAATAAAGAGCTTTGTTGAAAGAACAATTAGAGATAAACTTCAGAAAACGACCCACTTGGCTTTGCTAAGCTATCATTCTTTCTTTAAGCCTCCTCCTGCAGGTTTCAAAGGTGAGGGGACCTGGATCTTAGTACACTTGGAAACACCCTGGAGGCACAAAGAGGAGGTGAGACAGAAGGGGTTGTGTGTTGGGAAACCACAACCCCAACGAGACAGTTCAGAATAAGGTGCTTTGCATTTTTGATAAACACAATCATGCCTTATAATCTAAAAATAAAGAAAACCTTCTCAAGTAAAATTACGTTGCCCATAAAATGCAAATGCCATTGCCCTATCCCTGCATCTTTTCCACCAGGGCAAAACCAGCACATCAGTCGCTGTGCATGCTGTTGCAGAAGAGCAGAGACTCGGCCTGCTTTCTCTCTGGCTGTCACAGAGGATAACTTTGAGGCTGCCTAAGGCCCTGCAAAGTCAGCTAATATATGTCCCAACATTGCTTGATAGGTGGGAATACTTTAGCTGGTGAAGTTGTGGAAGGCACACGCTTGCAAAGTTGAAAAAATAACGAGGCTCATAAACAGACATGCTCCCCCCAGGTGCACTAAGCGAGAGCATCCTACAGGTGCTGCACGGACCAGATGCAGTTACTGCTGCCCTGGGCAGGATGATGAAGCAGATCTCGCTGCTTTGATGCCATGTTCACTTGGCAATAACAGAGCACAGAACAGGGAGCCCTCTAAAGACGATTCTCACATAAGGAAAAATGGATTTATGATTTTTATATACTGGCTTCAGTGGTTCAACAATATATAAGCTCAGAGTTTATATTTTAAAACATATGTTGGGATTTGGGCCAAACTGCCAGATTAGAAATCAGCCTAGCATCCTCTTTTGATGGGAGACTCTGTGCATGTGTGTGTGGGGGTGTAGTCTGGCAAATGGGGAACAACTGATGCTCTTTGAGTTGTCTTTCTTAAGCTTAAACGGCAGTAATTGCATCCCTCTTCCCGAGGCTTTGAAGTGGTGGAATTTGGAATTGGTAGGAGAAGGTGTTAAAAGTTATACATTTGCATTTAAATGGCACCCATTCCTCCCAAATATTTTAGTTTGGAAAAACAGCAGGCTTCAGCTGTGAGAGTCCTGAGAGGGATCCCTGGAGCCAGCTTCTGGGCCGACCTGGGAAGAGGCTGCAGCAGTCTTACTGAAGAATGTGCTTGGAGCTCAGCAGTCTCTGAAACTCAGCCTCTCTTGCTGTCATTGGCTTGCTCTGCCCACTAGCCTCTACTCTCAGTTGGTCTCCAATTTCCAGTTTCTCTTGCTCACCTAGCTCCTGTTGGGTTCTTCCAGAGCCTCACAGGGATATGCAGCTTCAAACGAAGGAGGGCTCCCAGCCTGGCAGCCACAGTGGACACCACATCTGTGGAAGAGCAGGCTGACCTGGCAGCCAGGGAAGGGATGGATGGGATCAACCAGAGCTCACAGAACTCGGCTTCAAGGGCAGGCTGAGTCACAGAAGCCATGCTGTGCTCACCCCGTGGGCCCCAGCGGACCATGCCTGCCTCCCCCATGCCGAGATTGGGGAAAGTCCTTGAGTTACTTCTCCTAAGTGATGCTGAGCAACAGACAGGCCTTGCAAATAATCAGGCCTTTAAACCAGAGCTGACATTTCATGGATGAGGGACTCGTGAGTACAAGTGGGACTGAGATTTGTTTCCTTGGCAGTGTGCAAAGAGGACTCAGCCCAAACTGTTCAAATGCTGACTCTGCCACTGACAAGCTGAGATCATGCACAAGTTACTTCATGTCTCTGGACTTCAGTTTCCTCCTTTATAAAATCAAGAATATAAACAAGACATGGTACATACCTAGAATCCCAGAACTGAGGCAGGAAGGAGGATTGCAAGTTCGAGACCTGTCTGGCAAACTAAACCTGATCTTGTCTCAAAATAAAAAAACAAAAAGGGGGCCAGGGATTTAGCTCAGTGATTCCGCTGCCTGCCTCGAAAGTGCAAGGTCCTGAGTTTGGTCTCCGGTAGCAAAAAAAAAAAAAAAAAGCAGAAAGGACTGGAAATGTAGCTCAGTGCAAAGGCCTAGGTTTAATCTACAGTACTGAAAAAAAAAAAAAAAAAGGACTCTCGCCTCTTAGCCAAGTGTAGCGGCAGTAAATGCTCACAGTGGCCTTGTCACACACACAGGGAGTGTGTCAGAAAAAGTACGAGGACCCTGCGGAACAGCTGACTCACCTCAGCGCTCCTGAGTTATTAGGCATTCAGCTTTTCTAAACTCATTTCAACGTAATCACAAAATATTTTCAAGTGGACACTAAGAAATGATGTTTTAATTACCTGCTTGAATATGAACAGCAGACTCACTCCTTCTGTTGCTTATTTTCTTAAATTTCCTCCGCGCATCATATCCTCTCCAGGCTAAAAATATAAAACCATGTGTTAGGAATGACATTAATTTAACATCGTGCCAGAGAACTGATATAAACTGTTCCCCCTCCAATCTATTCCCTCTCTCTTCCCGCCCTGAACAAAATGAGCAGAGATACATGAGTTATGATGGGGAAGAGGAGCGTCTCTGTACTCACAGAGTGGCTTTTAAAATGTTTCTGGGCCAGGCGTGGTGGCGCACGCCTGTAATCCCAACACTTGGTAGGCTGAGGCAGGAGAATCTCTGAGTTCGAGACCAGCCTGGGCTACATAGTGAGTTCCAGGTCAGTCTCAACTACATAGTGAGACCCTGTCTCAAAAAACCAGAAAAAAACAAAAAAACCTTCTGGGAGCCATTTTTGTTCAAGCAGTGAGTTTCCAGAACTCTATGGATCTCTCACTCTCACTGGGGCCCCCACACCCAGGTGAAGCGGCTCCCCGTCATTCCAATCCATGGAGGAAGACTTGCCTCAGGACTTGGGGACATGGGATGGGGAGGAGGTTGGGATGGGGGGAAGACACTGAAGCAGCCTGACCCTTTCCATGTTTTGTATTTGGGAGAAAGAGAGGGGTGAAGGGGAGTAATAACAGCACATATCCGGCTGAGGTCAGGAGCTGCTCAGGAAAAGAAGGCAAGGGAGGTGGGGTGAGAAGGCGGGAACAGAGGAAGGGTGGGAGGGCTAATCCTTTAGATACAGACAGAGGCATAAGCCAGCCAGCAGGAGCTTGAGCAGTGCTCTTCAACAGCCCACACTCTCAACCTTATCCCCAGTGTCTCAACTGTCCAGGCTGCTGAGATTGCTCAGGAGATCTGAAGTCAGCTATGGCACAGTATGGCTCTGTCTTCTGAGAATGCAAGAATCATCCACCATGTTCAAGATCTGGTGTTTTGTTTGTTTGTTTGTTTGTTTTGGTAAGAGGGGATCGAACTCGGGTCCTTGCTCTTGCAAGGCAGGCATCGGCATCACTGAGCTAAATCCCCGGCCCCAAGATCTGGTGCTTTTATAACTGCCCATCCTTAGCACAGGAGCGACCCTGCGGTCTGGAGCACACACAACACGTGTACAGAGGCCCCGGCCGGCAGGGCTGGCGTGGGAGAGACTAGAAGTTTGCTCCCTTGGTTTACAGTTCCAGCTGGGCTAGGAAAGCCTGCTGGAACGACGTTGGTCTTACGGAGGTCGAAAGCCAGCCTCGGCCTGCAGTGTTATGAATTATCTCAGCCACTCTGAGAGACGCACGTGTGTCACTGTGACTAGGGTTTTACATCACCCGGTCCCTCTTAATGTCTCTATCTGGACACCTGGCACAGTGTGCCGTAATGACCTGCGTGCCTCCTTGCGAGGGCAGGGGTCATGGTGGTCTTCTTAGGGGTGCTGCCCCAGCAGCTAGGAAGGGGTGGGCCTGTGGTAGACGTTTGATAACAATTTGGTGAGATGAGGAAGAAGGAAAGAAGTGAAAAAAGGAGAATGAAAAAGGGAAGCGGTCACTTAAAAAAAAAAACAAAACAACAGGTGAGTAGCCCTCAGTACTTAACAAAATGCCAAGACTTGGGGCAGCTTTTATGGAAAATGGTCCACTTACCTGACTGGATGGCAATGGCGCTCTTTTCTCTCTTCTCCCTGACTCTTTTATATCGCCTGGCTCCAAGCCACCCCTTGGTGTATGCCTGCAGCACAACTACTCTGCCCATGACTTCTCGAAGTAGTAAATTTAATTGCTCAACATGGTAATATTTGAGGAAAACCTGAAAAGAGACATTAATTTTCAAACTACATATGGGCTTCCCAGTAAAAATCCACTCTACTCCAGCATATTTAATGTAAATATTAAAACTATTATCTAAATGAAGTTGATTTGATCTACACTCTTATTGCTGACTTTTTGGGGTAAATACAATTCCCCTTCGAAGGTTGCTGAGCCTCGATTAGTGATGTAAACAGAAGGAGAGGTCTCTAGACTAAGGCAACCCCAGATGCTCTCTGGGTTCCACTTTCTCATCTTGAGCCCTGCTCTCTTTCCCTACAGCCTCTCATGGAGGAGAAACCCACAGGACCACCCAGGGCCAGCACAGGAAGTTGGCTGACCCACTGATCTAATTTCTGCTGAAGAGCTGCCACCAACATCCGAGCTAAAGCTGACTCTGTAGGGCAATTCACCATGGGGCTATAAAAACCTGGTGTCCCGCCGTGAAGGGATGTTGTCCCAAATTAAAAGCTATGGGAAGATGAAACTAACAGTCAGGACTTGCACTAAACAATACAATGTGAGTTTAGAAAAAAATGAACCAAACTATAAAAGAAACTCACCACCACCATAATATGATTTGTACATTTACACATGTGCTAGAATAAATAGTATTGAAAAAGAGTTTAAATAAAAGTATTTAAAGTAAGTTCAGAGATCTAGCAGTGCTAAATGGCTGTCAAATCACATGCAGAATTTTCCTCCTCTGGACCCTAACCTCCCTGGGCTCCTGACTCAAGGCCAACAAAGGACTTTTTTTGGTTTGGCTCTCAACTGCTAAGCTATATCACTTACACAGCCATCTTGCTGGTGAGATCAGTGACAACTGACAAAAGGCATGCAGGAGAAGATTCCACACCACAATCTAAACAATAAGAAAGAACTACCTTTGTTTTCCCCAGCACCCAGTGATCTAATCTGGTCTTTTCCAAGATAGCGACACAGCTCTCTTTGCTAGCAGGAGGTGTTTGATGTGCTTTGAATGCCAAGTAGTAATACCTACAAATAAAAGAAATGAAGCATTTTTTTCAGCTACCATTTTATTTAATACAGTAGGATTGTTCTGGACTCATTGACAAGCCTTGTTTTTTTTAATAGTAAATGTGTCTTGAGTACCAATAACAGCATATCAGTTAGGAAACGATATATAATTTATTCTTACTAAGTTGACTCCTACCTACATTCACATTTTCCTACAGCATGGATTTTCCTTCTAGTGTTGTGAATTCGTGTTTAGTGCATACTCAGTGCCTTTTGTTTATAAAATCAAAATATCTTTTTTTTTTTGAGACAGGGTCTTGCTATATAATCTAGGCTGGCCTTAAACTTAGTATGTATCCCAGGCTGGCCTCAGACTTGCAACAATCCTCCTGCCTCAGCTTCCCCAGAGCTGGGATTACAGGCATGTGCCATCATGCCTGGCTTCTAAACCTTTTAGAAAGCTAAAATTTAGCTTTCTCTTAGTGAAAATCATAATTTTATTTCATTTTCAACTCTATGTATATATCTAAATTTAATCTACAATCTTATTAAGTTTTTGGTCTCACCTGTTTCATAATCTTTTTTATTCCTTTCCTACCTTCTCTTACATTATTTTTGTTTGATTTATTTATTTATTTTAATTAATATATGTTTGTGATACATAATCATTGCATTCATCTTGGGGAACTAGTACATATACATATTGCATCTTAATAATTTTACTTCTTTCTTTTCCCCTCTGTCTCCTCCATCACCAGATCCCTTTGAAAATTCATAATTTTAAATGTATTATTATTATTACAAAAATAATTTACACCCCATGGTATATATGTAACTGCTTTCAAAAGTTCCATCTGAAGCAGTTCATAGCCAGCAAATGATACTAACCTGACACTACAGACTCTCTCTGCTGAGCCACATGTCCTATTCAAGGAGAGGGGTAGACAAGTTGTCTTGATCCCATCACCAAAACCACACTTATTTTCTTAAATGACTTCATTCTAGTGAACCTTTCAACTTTCAGAGAAAAGGATTTGTAGGTAGACTTGAAGAACTCCACTGTAGAGGAGGAAAAGTATCTTCTCCTTACCCATTCTAGATTCAGAGCTGAGAGTCCCATAAGAGAAAAGTTGCCAATCTATTCAATATGTTTTCTGTAACACAGGAGCTTTCCTCCACATGAAAATAAGACCTTAAGAATTAGTTAAACAGGTGTATTTCTAGGCCAGGTTTCACGGAGAAGGAGAAATAAAATTGCACAAAAGGGTGTGGGCCAATAGTAGAAATCCGGAACTCTGGCCTGTCTGTCCAGAATCTTCTGTGTTCCCGCGTTCACAGAGACGAGCACGTTCCCTTAATAGGGGAGGCCTTTCTCACATGAGGGCCTTTATGGAAGCTCAGAAAATCTGCCCTAGGTCCTGCCTCAGAGAGCAGGAAAGGGAAGAGAAGTCAGAGTGACCGTAACGTCTCTGCTGTTTTCTTAGATGCCAAGGTGGTCACCATGTTTTGAGGTAACATGTCCTGCACACCATCACCACCAAAGGATTCTTTCTTCCCCTTTTCCCTCCTCCTCTTCCTCTTTCTTGTTTTGTGGTTGTTGTTTTTTGTGTCTCTGAGGTACTGGGGAGGGAACCCAGGGCAAATGCCCTACCACTGAGCTACATTCCCCACCCCTCCTTTGTTCTTTATTTTGCCTTTTTAAAATATAATTTGTTAAATATCTTATCCTTTTAGAAAAATCTTACCCTATCCCCAGAAACTTTCAAAAGCTCAAGGATCTTTTCTCTGCTTTTTGCTGCCATCTATAATTAAATTCAACCCCTCAGAAACATAAAAATTAACCTATTTCTCTGTCAAAGGATTTTTTTCGTCACTCATTAAACAAGGCTGTTTGCTATTTGGAGATTAGTTTTAAATACATATAGAGCTGTTTTTACTTTTTTTAAAAAATCATCAAATATGAAACATGTCCCTTCTTCCTGTCAAAAGTACCCATACATACATATCTTTCTGTTTACGGAAACATAAATTTACCTAATCAGTACTTGAGTCAACTTTGTTTTTGTGTTATACAACCACTCCCCAAATTAGGATATGAGGCCAGGATTGCTGGAAACATTTGCATTCAGAGATCCCAGGACTGTTTCCAAACCTCTGAGTCTCTGCTTCCACCTTTGAGGAGCAGGGACAGTGCTTCCAGAACCCCTGGATGGTGAAGGTGATAGGAACAAAGAGCCTGCTGAGAGCTGACACCCTCTGGAGCTTACAGGGAGGAGGGGTACCCAGGAGTCAAGCAGGGACCGATGCGGGGAATTCAGGGCATCAGCACAGATTCTGCGGCCTCAGTTTCTCCAGGACTATAGCTTTAGTCATTGCTTCTCTAACTTGGACAGGGAAGAAATCTCAGTGCCTTCTGCAACCTAGGCTTAGAAGTAACACTGTGGATTCTTCCATATTCTTCTACTCAAGTCCCACTAACACTCAATGAGAGAGGAATTAAGTTCTACCTCTTTTCTTTTGGTACTGGGGTTTGAACTCAGGACCTTGCACTTGCAAGGCAGGTGCAGTCGCCACTGAGCTAAATCCCCAGTCCAAATTCTACCTCTTGAAGAGAGAACCATAATTTGTGAACTGTGTGTGTGTGTGTGTGTGTGTGTGTGTGTGTGTGTGTGTGTACTACAAATCAAACCTAGGGATGTTCTACCAATGAGCTACAGTCTTACTCCTTTTTATTTTTAGATAGGGTCTCATGCTAAATTGCCTAGGCAAGACTCAAAACTTGGCATCCTCCTGCTTCAACCTCCCTCAGTACCAGCATCATTGCACCTGGCTAGAAAACATATTTTTAAACCACCACAAAGAATCTCTAGATCATCAAGTCTTTCTATTAATGGAGAAAAGCACTCTCCGTGATATGAAATGATTTATACAAGATAACAGAAAGTAAATGACAAAGGCTAAAGCTATTATTCAATGGTATTTCCATATTATACTTTCCTATGCAATCTATCGAGCGGTCCCAGCAAAATGTTGCTGACCTGAGGTCTTCCAGACACAATGTGGGCAGAACTGAGCTGATCACACTTTAAATTCTACCACCACTCCATGTTGCAAGTATGGCCAAGGCAGCTAGAACATGGAGGACAGAGTACTTGGAGACAGCTAAAGAGAGAGAATTATGGAGACTCAAGGAAGATCTCCTCAAGTATTCAGCAGAATACTGGTGAGCATGTGCACAGAGGAAACTACCCCAGGCTGGGAGCAGAATCACCGCAGACGATTCCAGCGAAGGTGCCTGATGCTCACACAGAGCTGGCAACAGTGCCTCTATCTGCCATTTGTTGCAGACACAGCTCTAGTCCTACCTAACAAACCTTAAAAGCAAGACCCAAAAGAAGAAAATTGTTTCCAGCTAACTTAACTGGATCCAAGAATGAAGCGCACAAATATTTAAAGGGTTACAAAAAATAAAATAAAACTACCGATAATTTCACATCAATTCAAGACTACTAGACCTGAAAATGAGTCACAATGAGAAGAAAAATCAAAGAGCTGAAATGCATCCAGAGGTAAAATAGGTATTAAAATTAAGAGAAGGATATTAAAATAGCTATCTTAACTGTATTCTAAATTTTCAAATTGGGTAGAGAAACGAGCCATTTTAAAAGATCGGAAAAGAACTTTTAGAAATGAAAACTACAATACCTGTGGTGAAAAATATACTAAATCAGCAACAAGTGAAATATCGCTGAAAAAAAGATTAGGGAACTTGAAGACAAGCCACTAAAAATTATATGAAATGAAACACAAAGAAAAAACAACTTAAAAATAAAAACATCATTGATGAGCTGTGGGGCAATTTAAAGTGGTCTTAAAACATGTAATTTGAGTCCCTGGAGGGAAGGAAGAAAAAACTGATGACAGAAAAAGAAATATTAAGCCAGGCATAGTGGTGCATGCCTGTAATCCCAGCATTCAAGAGAATGAAGCAAGAGGATCACTGTGAGTTCAAGGTCAGCCTGGGCTACACAGTGAGTTCAAGACCAGCCTGAACTACATGGCAAGACCCTATCTCAAAAAACAAAAACAACAACAACAAAACAAATTCAAAGAAATAATGGCTTAAAATTTTGAAATTTGATGAAGAAGTGTAAGCTAACAGATCCAAGAAACTAATAAACTCTAAGCACACCAAAAGGCATTGAACCAAACTTCCAAAATCTGTGATAAAAAGAAAATCTTAAAGGCAAACAAAGAAAAAAGACAAGTTATATACAGAGGGACAAAGACAAATATAACAAGAGTTCGCAACAGAAAAAAATTCAAGTGAGAAGACAATGGAATAAACTCTTTAAAGTATTGAAGGAAAATAAATTCCACACCATGCAAAATTATCTTTCAAATACAAAAGCAAAATAAAGACTTTAGACAAGAGAAGCTGAAAGACGTTATCACTAGAAGACTTGCACTAAAAGAAATGATCATGGAAGTCTTTCATACAGAAGGGAAACACCACCAGAGAGAAGGACATAAAATATTCTTATTTTTTAAATATCTTTAAAATATACTTGACCGGACAAAGATAATAACAATTTATTGTGGAATTTATAATATACAGAAAAATTAAATGTATGGTGATAAAGCATAAAGAAAGAGACTAAGGTGGACTGTTGTAAGGTTCTTTCCTATATGTAAAGTGGCGTAAGATTACCTGAAGGTAGACAAGGATAAGGTAAAGGTGTGTTCTAGAAATCACAAAGCAATCCCAAAATAACAAAACAAAGAGCTATGGCTAATAAATTAACAAAGAAGATAAATTGAAATCATATAAAATACCCAATGAATCTTGAAGGAGCAGAGGGAGGAGGCAGCAGCAAAATGATAGATTGGAACCTAAACTTGTGAATAAGTTAAAAGTAAATGTTCAAAGCCCCTCCCCAAATTTAAAGAAAGAAAATTATAGACCACGTAAAAGAGTAAAGGCGACTACACACTGCTTTAAAAACTACACAAATATAGACACAAGTAAGTTCAAAGTGAAGGATATACCATGCTAACAGTAGGCACATGAAAACCGGACTACCTATATTAACACCAAAGTAGATTTCAGAGCAAAATACCTTAAAATAAGTCTCTTCCCATCCATCCTGCTACACGCACACACCACACATCTTGTTGGTTCTGTTTCTTTGGACAAAACCTGATTAATATACCTGCAGCACCCTTTTACTATCACTTATATACACCAAATGGAGACGGAGACAACTTTGGTGACAAACTTCTTGTAATATGGCCAAGGGAGAAGGCAGGTTCTGTGCAAAACCACATGGCAGAAAGTTGGTTTTGAGTAACTTCTTTCCTCTTCTGTCATTTATTTTCTCTTGGTTCACTGATTGCCCAAGTTCCCCACAGATGTTGGGTCTTTGTGGATAGAGGTCTAAGATACTGAATCCAGCTGTTCCTCTGCATTCTCATACAGACTTTCCCTGCTCTGTGCCAGATTTTTCTGAGCCTAGGTATTCCCACAAGCCCTCTGTTTTTTTGGTACTGGGAATCGAACTTGGTTCTTTGTGCTTGCCAGGCAGGCAGCAGAACCACTGAGCTAAATCCCTGGCCCAAGCCCTCTGTTGAAGGGACTACTCGCTAAGTAGTCTAGGCTGGCTTTGAACTCATGATCCTCCTTCCTCAGCCTCTTAAGTGCTGATGTTATAGGTGTGTATTGCCATGACTGCTTACGAAGCGTTTAGATCCTGAAGGGAACTTAGAATCACCGATAAAAATTCTTTCTTTGAACAAAGAAAGGCAGAAAGAAGACTGACTCAAGGTTAGAAATTCAAGTAAGTGGAAATCTTCTCATTCCAAATTCAGGCTTCTCTGAACTCATCCAACCCACATCCTCCCTGAGCTCTTGTGTCTACAAGTAGGCCATGTCTGACTCTCTGACAGGAACCTTTGATGTGCCAGCATTTTTTAACCTCATTGGGACTTATAAGTGTCCACAGGGATCTGAAATACTAGGCTTTTGACTTAGAAGTGTTGATTTCCTGTATCTGAGCACCAGCTGTCAGGCTGTCCTGGGGGTGGGTGTGTGTGTGTGTGTGTGTGTGTGTGTGTGTGTGTGTGTGTGTGTGTGTGTGTGTGTTTCTTCAGCAAGGTGTTCTACTTCCAGGAGAAAGTTACTTACACTTACACATGGCCTTTACTGCCCTTCTGAGCAGTCAGATTCTAGTCTTGCTCAGCTTCTTTGCAACTCCTTCTAAATGGTTGGTACTGATAGATAGATAAATGCTACCCAGTCTGATGATAATTTTAATCCATTTCTTCCTTTCTGGAAAATCAGTTCTGCTGCCATTTACTATTCATCTCAACATTCCTTTATTTCTTAAAGCTGTTCCTTTGAACTGATTGTAACATCTGCCTGGTTACCTCATACCATATGAATAAATTAACAAATTCATCTTTATTTCTGTATCTCAGATACGATTTTCATCTTATTCTGCATGTTACCTTTTAACAAGAGAAAGAAAAGAGTACAAACATCCAGCCTACAGAGACTTGACCCAGTGGAGGACCACGGAAGGCCTGGAGGCAGGAAGTCCTCACACCTACACAGACCCAATGCTGCCGAGCGGGCTCACACATACTGTCCCTTCTCGACTTGTAATTTTTGAAAAGAAAATATTGGCTCTAAGACTCCAGTGGATACTAAGATCCAAAAATGCTTAAATCCCTTACTTAAAATGCTGTAGTATTTGCATAGAACCTAAACACATCCTCTCCTATACTTTAAATTACCTCTAGATCACCTTTTTTTTTTTTTTTTTTTTTTTTTTCTGAGACAGGGTCTCACTTTGTAGTTCAGAGTGGCCCTGAACTCACTATGTAGCCAGGCTGGCCTTGAACTCGTTCGTGGTAATTCTCCTACCTCAGCATCCTGAGTTGTTAGGATTATAGGTGTGCGCCCACCATGCCCAGCTGGTAGACTACTTCTAATACCTAAAACAATGTAAACACTAGGTGAATAATTATTATACTGTATTGTTTAAGGAATAATGACAAAAACACTCATTTGAGATAAAAAATTATATCAGTGTTGGAGATTGCTTACATTTTTGTAACACCTTGTACTTTTAAATTGCATCCCTCATCTTGGTTTTTCTATGCTTGCTTTTTTACATTGTTGGGGAAAGATCTGAATCTTCTAAAGATGCCTTTGAAATCCCAACCTATAATGAATGATCTCTACTTTGATGCACCCCTGCAATCTGAGTTTTGCATTCAAAGGCATAGAAAACATCTGTACCTCAAAGTGGAGACTTGTACAGCCCTAAATTAATAGATTTTCCCCCCATAGCATATTATCCAGACTGTAACATTTTTATTTTCTTTTTTTCCTCATTAAGTTTATTGGTACATTCTAGGTATACAGTACAGTTACATTCATCACTGGGATCTTGTACCTCTACAGGACAGGTCTCGGTTCTCATTTTTTTCCCCTTGTCCCTGCCCTCGCTTTACCCCTCCTCCCCTCCCCCTTTACAAACACCTCATTTCCATTTTTTCATTTTCCCACATTTTTTTTTCTTTTCCCTTATTAGCTTTCCCCTACCCTTCCCACTTTCCCTACACCTTTAGCCCCTTTCTTCCTATTTCACGTGGTCAATTATCTCATTAGGATCTTATGTACTATTATAATTTTTCACACCAGAGAAACTATTCGGTATTTACACATGTGCGACTTACTTATTTCACTTAGGAGTATATCCTCAATATGTATCCATTTTCCTGTGAATGACTCTAATTTCTCTTCTTTATGGCTGAGTAGTATTCCATTTTATAGGAAAACTGCATCTTTATCCAGTTTCCAACTGATGGGCAAATGGGCTGTTTCCAAGTTTTAGCTATTGCAAACTGTGCCACTATAAACATAGGTGTGCATATATCACTGTGGTATGATTCTTTTAATTCTTTTGGAAAGATACCCAGCAGAGGGATGACTGGGTCAAATGAAACCTCTAGTCCCAGCTCTTTGAGGTATTGATTTCCATAGTGGTTGCATCAGTCTGCACTCCCACCAACAATGGAGAAGGGTTCCTTTCTCCCCACAACCACACCAACATTTGTTATTGTGTGATTTCTTGATAGCAGCCATTCTTTGTGGGGCGAGGTGGAATCTCAGTTAAAAACTTTAAGTAAATATATTCATTCAGGATGGATTGTTCACTCTGGATGGTTGTAGAACTTTGGCATAGCTATGTTTTCTCTGTTAGCTACTTTCTATCAACTTGACTTCTTGTCTCTATTCATTTGTTAAATAGAACTTTATGTATGCTAAGGCTTAGGTGTTATGGTTCCCCCAAAGGTTTGTGAGTTGAAGGGTTAATCCCCAGGATGGCAGTTTGGGAAGGGACTGGAATCTTTAAGAGGTGGGGCCTAGTGGGAGGTCTTTAGGTCATGAGGGGGCACTGCCCTGGGAGGGAGAACAAGTCACATGCAGTGAGTTCTGAGGACAGCGGGTTGTCACAAAAGCCTGAGTCTCCCTGGCTTCTTGTTTCAAGAAAATGAGCTCTTCTGAAAAGCTGAATTCATATCACACAGGACGCAATGATTTGCCTGGCACCAGCAGAAGTGCTAAATGGCATGAGCGAATGAGTTCTTTGACCTTGGGCAGTTTATATACCAGTGAGGGAAATAAACATTAAATAAAAATGTAAAGATGGCCAGGGATTTAGCTCAGTGGTTCCAGCACCTGCCTCGCAAGTGCAAGGACCTGAGTTCGATCCCCGGTACCAAGAAAAAAGAAAAAAAAGAAAGATGTCATTTTGGGGTAGGGATAAGTGCTATGAAGAATACTAAATCGGGGTAGGGGAGTCAGTGAATATATTTTGGGGTATTTTGGCTAGCAACCTTAAATAACCAGGACAGTAAGGAAATTCCAGTCACGTCCCACAAACACCAGTTTCTGAGGGTGGAGGCATTGAGCTTAGAAACAAAAAGACAGCAGGGTCTCATTACCAGTCATATGCAGCCCACCTTCATCAGAATCATCTGGAGGCTTCATAAAACATGTGAACTCCTGAGCCACACCTGGGATTTTTCTAACATAGAAGCAGAGCCTCTGTGGCCAGACTCAGGAATCTATATTTTAATAAGTTCCCGTGGTGATTGAACTATAGTGTGAGAACCATGGACTTAGAGGAACATGATAACTGAATGCCACCAAGTAAAGAAAACCCAGAGGACAGGACTGGGATGGATGTCAAAATCTTCTAAAGGATTATTTTGGTAAGGGTCAGGAAGTACATGGTGGTCATCAAATACTGACTAACATGAAATGGGCTGCCTTGGGAGCCAGGGAGTGAACTCTTAGACCCTAAAACTTAAATGGGAAGCTAACTGACAAAGTAAAAACTGATGCCAAAACCTGACGAAGGATTTCCAGGGACTTCAGCTAGGTAGTTGGAATGGATGACCCTCTGAGGTTCTAAGAAAGATGTTATGTTGACGTCTCCCTTGGCTCAAGAAGTTGCCTCTGTGATTTAACAATTGAAGTTTATTATTGCCCAGTACAGTTACTGGGATGATTCTTTAGTTACTTACTATCTATTTTTGTTTTTTCATACCAGGGGTCAAACTCAGGACCTTGTGCTTGCAAGGTAAGCAGCAGAACCAATAAACTAAATCCCTGGCCCAGTTACTATTTTATATTTGAGTCATAAACTGGCAGACTCCTAAAATTTCCCCAGTGGTTTACTGGGGGTCTTAGAAGCTCAACTACAATCTCTTGAATGAGCTCTCTTTCTCCCTCTCCCTCTCCCTCTCTTCCCTCAATTCCTCTTTAAAATACACATACTGAATCAGGAATTTGGGGGATGGTACCCAGGGATCTGCATTTGAACAAGCCTTCTATGACACTCTTATTGATGAGGGAAAACCACTGAGAGAAACAGAATCCTGGACATGAAGTGAACTCTTTCCAGCGACAGTCTATCTCAGGAAGTAAATTGGCTCCAATGTTTCCCTGTCCTCTTTGCTCTGTGTTAGACATAAATGACTTGTGGGGTTTCTGGAGCACATCATTTTCCCTTGCAAAAGGTCAACTGCTGAGAATCTACACTAAAGAAATCCTCACATATGTTTAATATTTAGGATTGTTTATTGAGTATTGCTGGCAAACAATTGGAAACAATTTCAGTATTCACCAGTGGAGGAATAACTAAAAAAATGTCATGGATTTCAGTGAGGGGGTTGAAGGAATGTGTAAGGACAATGCAATTATATCTAACTCCATTACTGAATAGAAAAGCAAGTTTAAAAAAAAGAAAAGCAAGTTGCCAAATGGTACAAAAAGTGTGATTCGGGTTAAGCTGAAAATGAAGGGTTTCTTCCCTCTCTTCTCGTGTGTGTGTGTGTGTGTGTGTGTGTGTGTGTGTGTGTGTGTTCTGAATCTACCAAAAAATAACAGCAGCCACTTTAGGGAATTGCACAAATGTTGGAAGATGGAATTAGAGATAAGAAAAAAGTTCTTAGGCACATATAATAATTGACACTTTTAGATGAAATATACATTATTTTTGTATTCAAGAAATAATTTCAAAATAAAAACATACAGAACAAAAAATAATTTCAAATATTATATAAAAATTGTTATTAATGGCAATAGGCCTAAATCTTGGCCAAAGAATCATAGATCTACTATGATCTACTAAGCTGATCAATGTCACTTACACTTTATGAGGCAAAGTATCTTAATTAATCCTTTTCCTATATTATGTCCCTAGTGAGGGATTCTTGACCTATGTCAGTGACCACCCAGACTGTCTACTCAGAGTCCCAAAGTACTGGACAATTATCTGAACAATTCAATTGATATAAATCATTTTTCTCTTATGTGGATAATGAAGATAGCAGAGCTATTTTGGCCTAGATAATTTGACAATTATCCTCAATTGCCCATTTCCCTTTGTGTGTCTAAATTCCAGATTTAATTTATTAAGTTCTTATATGTACCATAAGCCCTTTTAATTTTTTCCCTTCATGTTTGGCCTTGAGTAAAGAGAAAGAACAGATGGCCACCATCTGCCGAGAGAGAGAGAGAGAGAGAGAGAGAGAGAGAGAGAGAGAGGGAGGGAGAGAGGGAGGGAGAGAGGGAGAGAAAAGAAAGAGGGAAGGAAGGAAGAAAGAAAGAGACAAAGTTCATTATTTCCTTAGGAAAACTGCTAAATTTGGACCTTAGGATAAGAAGCCACATTGATCTCTGTTATTGGGTTGTGAAAGTCCTGAGATGATAAATTCTTTCCAATACAATATCACTCACTAAAGCACTCTGCACACAACAGTCACTTAATAAATGCTTCTGGTGCTGATGCTGTCTTATAAGTTCAAATACGAGGCCTTCTAAGGGGGGAAAACCCCACTAAAACATTGGGAATTGGAAATTGAGGCTGTTTATTCACAAATTAGCTCATAATAGAATGCTAAACTTCAAGCTGATAATTGTATTTTATATTTAGGAGAATTATTAATGGGCTTTTTCTCTCATTAGGTTCTACAAATTGCTTTTGCAATGAATATTCAGACGTGTTTAACTGTCTCATTTAAGGATGGACTTTCATATTAGATAGACTCATTTCACATGCTGACTCCACCACATTCTGTCTGTGTGACTTTGAGCAGTTTCCTCACTTGTAAGTCTCAAGTAATATGATCCACATGAGGGGCTATTTCCAGTGTTAAGTGAGATCATATATGTAAAACCTCTGCATGAAGCCAGCTATCACCAAGTGCTCAATAAATGTCTATCGCTCCCTCCTTCCCTTCGTTTCTGTGGCATAAATAGATTTGCTTCTTCTTCCTCCCAGATGTGTGAGTGGAGGCGGCTGCTCATCTTTCCCTGAGTCTTTCCTAAACCAATGCACCCAGGACGGGGCAGATCTATTCACCGCCAAGCCCCTGGAATACTCTATAGGAGGGAAGGTTAAAAAGTCACCTGGAGGTCAGCTCATGGACTGGGTAGCAGTCCCCTGGAGCACTGTGCTGGGAAGATTTCCAAGGTCACATCTGCGATCTGAAGGAAAAATGCCTGTCTGTAGCCCAGGCCAGAGGATAATGGGCTGCTTGTTCAGTGGCATGCTTTTGCCTTCCCCATTCCAGAAGGCTTCCTCAAATTCCTCTTCTTCCTCCTTTCCTCCTTTTTGTTCATCATTATCTCATTCATTTTTCTTTTCGCTGCTTTGTTGTTATCACTAGGGATTCCCCAGGCAAAGATACAGAGTCTCTCCCCAGCCGTCGGTTTCCTTCAGGTAAGCAGGGCAGTTAACCCAAGTGTCCAGAGTGAGCTTTCTCTGCTGACTTGATGTCATCCGACACCTTCATGACTTTTTTCCTCTTGTTTCCCTTTGTTATTTATCTTTCTGTTGTTCCCAAAACTTGGCACTTGCTCCCTGTGTTTCTGTTTATAATTGGCTTCTTCTCTATGACTGATTATTTCTTGAAGCTGCTCATGAGGCAGAGTATTAGGGAGATCAGGAAAGACAGCCTGGATTTATTATTTCTGCCACTACTCAGTATTTGGAGAGAAGCATGATTGATATTAACTCTTGTATCTATTCTCAAATCATCACTACAAATTCCTGGCTAAATGTGCAGTCTAACAATGACAGAGATGATTATTTTCTGATGATAATTGAATGCAAGAAAAGCAAGTGTCAGCACAGTGGGCTCCATGAGAAAGGCAGGGCCCTAAAATAATTCATTTGGGGTTTCTGAATGGTCTATATTCTTAGGCAGGAAGGCATTAGCCTGGCAAAGCCAAATTGGTGGTCATAGAAATTCTCTTCAGGCTATTGTAACTTGGATGGTTACTACACACTATAGCTTAAGGGCACTCACACTCTTAATGCTAGTGCCCTTAATCCTAGCACTCACCATGAATCAATCCCAGCATTACACATTCTAGATCCAGCCTCCTCTGAAAAAGCCCCACCTATTACCACATGAGGCTTTAGGGGGACATCTAAACACAAGCCATAATAGGATGCTCCTGCCTCAGTCTCCTAAACAGCTGGCAATATAGACATGTACCACACCAGTTCCCTGCTATTTTAATACATAAATTACCCAAAAGGCACCAGCACACATAGACACAGCTGGGAAAGGTGAGCAACTTGCTTTCTCAACTAAGCAAAAGAACACAGGCAGGAAGGACAAGCTGCAAAGACAGCAGTTGTTACAGACCTGACCTGTATTGGTCCCTTTCCTATTGCTGGGACAAAATTTTGAATACCTGCAAAAAAGGAGAAAACCTTTATTTTGGCTTACTGTATCAATGGGCTCAGTCTGGGGCTGGCCAGTTTCAAGACAGAAACAGCATCATGAAAAGGTCTGGTGGAGGAAACCTGCTCACCCCATGGTGGCCAGGAGGTAGAGAGAGAGAGAGAGAGATGAAGAGCCAGATGAGAATACAGCCTCCCAGGTCACGCTCCCAAGTGGCCCACCTCTTTCATTTAGCCTCACCTCCACACGAGACTTTTGGGGGACATTTTAAATGTAAACCATAACAAACCTCACTCGATGGCATGCCACCATGCAATTACTTCCGCTAGAAGGTAAATGTGGATGGTTCACACAGCATGTAACACATTTCACTGACAAGTCATCCTCCCTTAGTACTATCCCTTCGCAGGTCCAGCACCACCATGCAAACCAACCTCCAGGGAACTGAGGGTTCTGCTCAACCTGCTGCAGATGTCCTGGCTCCCTGGAGTGGCACATTAAGATCTGTGCATATCCGAATCCCACCTATGTAGTTATAGATAAAAGAGGAAAAATCCAAGGATGTCCTGAAGGATTTGTGTTGACTTATTTGTATTCACTGTTGATTTTCCAGAGAAAAGCGTAGAGCCTTTCGTTTATTGAAAATTAAAGTTTGATGTCTGGATTCTTCTGTGGTGCTGATTTTTCTCCTAAACCTTGCATAGGAGCTGGCACTAACCTTAGGGAATGTCAAGGCTCCATGCTTACAGGTGGATTTTCACAGTGATAACTTGGTGATTTAAGTTTTCTCTGCAAGAGGGAAAGGAATATGCTATAGGTTTAAGACCCCAAACATACCTTTTTCATGGCATTGGAATTAGAGGGCTCCCAAGCTCTCACCCACTTCTCCTCAGGCACTCTGCACTTGCTGATTCTTATGCTGTACACTGAGGAAGCAGCAAGCAAGCAAGGAGTAAGAAATTAATGGGTTGGGAGGAACTGGAGCTATTTATTCATTCAGCCCCTATTCATCCAGTCCCTCCCTCATTCAGGAAAGTAATATAAGACTTCTATACTCACTTCTCCCTGATGAACTGAACGCCAGTTCAAGTGACAATGTACCAGCCCCTGACCTGTACTTTACTTATGCTTAGTCTCTCCCCACAGCTAGGAGTGGTTATGTGATCAAGGTGGAACAAATAAGGTACATCTGAAATAGCTTCAGGGAAAATGTTTTCTTTCCTGATGAAAATAGTACAGATGCAGCTGGCTCAGCCATTCATCCTGCCTTTCCTCCTGCCTGAAATGTAGATGTGATAGCTGAAGAGACAGCAGCCATCTTCTGACCACAAGACCGTAAGTCGATCCAACCCATACAACACTAAAGCTAGTACAAAGGTACTAAAGACAATCAGAAGGTGTCTGGGCCCCTGATGACAACACTGAGCAGATGAAATAATGCTAGAAATATTTCACCTCTAAACTTCTTTCAAGCAAACAAATTCATTTGCCAGTGTTTCTCAATTTGGACAATTCTGTCCCCACAGAATTTTTTTTATCAGAGCTGGAAATTGGACCCAGGTTCTCACACATGGTAGGCAAGTGCTCTACCACTAAACTACATCTCAACCCCATGGAAATATTTCTGACTGTCACAATTACTGGTAGTGGGGAGGAAGTGGGTATTGGTATCTAGTAGGTAGAAACCAGTCAAGGAGCTGCTAACTATCTTATAAGGCATAGAACAGTGTCCTATAAACAATTATCTTGTCCAAAATGGCTTAAGCACTAAAATGTTTCTTTCTTTGCTATTCATAGTCAGATGCATTCCTGACTAACCATCCCTCCTTCTGTACACTGAGAACACATACAGCAGGCCAGACATCATGCCATGTAAGGTGCTAAGGACACAAAAATAAGATCCACTCCAGCCCTTCACAAGTGCACAGTCTAGGGAGCAGATGCACATTCTGGAGTAGAGGACGCAGCCACTAGGCTGAGCTGGAGACCAGGCAGCAGGGAGATGATCCAGTGAAGATGGCTTCCCAACAGAGAGAAGGCCAATGTCATGTGTAGCCTGGAAGGACCAACATCAGACTGAC